AGATGAGATGGAGCCGACAAAGACAGGGGAGACCGTAATGGCCATTTCTGGCTTATTAGCCATCATCAACCAGTCATACCCAACCCCATGTGTGGATCACTTGAGATTCGAACCCGGGATTTTTGGTCATGGAGTTTGACACTCCACCATCGACTGGCTGATGACGGCTAATAAGCCAGAAATGGCCATTCCGGTCTCCCTTGCCTTTGTTGGCACCATCTCACATATGCATATGCATACAATTGGACGGTCAAAGACAGAGCCCTTTATGACCCTATTTATGTACAGTGCTTTCGCAGATTCCCACTCAAAATAAAATTACAGGCATTTACAGTGTGATCGGGTCACAGTTCAATCGTAATCATAGGGAAGTGCATCAGTTCACTGTAAGTAGTCATTTGGGTAGTCATTCAGTAAAAGCCCATTTGTGTCGAAAATTAGGCGAGCAAGTTTTCTTTTAAACATGCAAATTGTGTCAGCCGTCACCATCTCGCTTGGAAGCGAGTTCCACGGTCGGAAAACCCGCTGGCTGAATGAAAACTTTCTAAGGTCTAACCGCGTGCGCTCATTCTTGACTTTGTAGGCATGACTGTGTAATTGGTTTGTACGGGCAAACTCAAAGTTGTCCTCCGTTCTTAATGAGCAAACTTGGCCGCGGACAATTCCGGAATGTCCAGAGTAGACTACAGTTTATTTGTCTATAAGTGAGAGGGAATAAGCCAAGCAAATTCAGCCTCTCCTGGTAAGACAAATGCTTTAGACCGTCGACCATCTTCGTTGCTCTGCGTTGCACCTGCTCGAGTAAGTCGATATCCATGGCGATGCTGCTGGCAGATGAGGTCTTACAAAGACACCAAAAAGTCTTTCGAAGAGTTCGGGAGGAAATATTTTAAATGCGCCTCTGATCCAGTGTAGAGTACTAGTTGCCTTCTGGACAGTTTCCTTTCTACAGTGTTCTGATGGCGATAGAGTTGTGGTCGTCCATAAACCCAGATCTCTGTGTCTTTCCACAGTTTCTAACACCGTTCCGTACTGGTGTTTGGGAGAGGCATTTCGGTCGGTGTTCAGGTGCAAGACCACGCATTTGGACACGTTAAATTTCAAAAGCCATTTGTTCGATGTGGGAAACCAAGAGTTGGAGCTGACCGTGACAAGCATCACACTCAGTCCTCCAGCCCGATCTCGGTGTCACACACACACTCACACACACACACACGCACGACCAGTGGAAATCCTGCAGGGACTAGGACAGGGATAGAGGATAGTCCACAACTAGCAGGAGGCCAAACCCCATCAACTGCGAGGGGAGGGAATTTCACATAAGACGAAGAACTATATATATACATGGGGTAAGAGCGGATGCGTTGAGAGATCAAGTCAGTCAGGTCATATGGCGGTGATTGTTGTGGCGCATTTCCCTGTCCTGTTGACAATCATGGCGTCGAAGATTCGTCTTCGGTGTCATTTCAAATAGATTTTGTCAGTCCACATCAAGATCAAGTCGCGGCGATCACATGATTCCACCTAGAGGACCCAGTTCACAGACTAGCTCAATGTATCACAATAGTGGCGGTCGAAATGAAGGCATGGCATCAGTAAGCGTGCTGATAGCAGCGAATTATGTGGTCATTCTTCTTATCCACCTCATCTGTTCACTGATCAGGCTGAGCACATCCGTACAGATCATATACGTCCGCCACACACTACCAATTCCCTAACTGCACACCACCTTCCAGACTCCACTGGGGGAGGGGGGTGAGGGAGATATCACCCAGTCGAGCGTAATCCGAGGTCCACATCAACAATGAGGCACGCAGTCTGACCCTAGGTCCTGAGAAGGTGCGTGTTACGCCGCCAGTCTGCACAACGTCAAGAAGCAACTGTTTGTCAGTCCTACTAGTCAATGCAGAGCTCATTGTTCCGTGTAAAGTGAAAACCTTAAGAGACGGAGCCGACTTTGACAGACATCACCCTCCGTGGCTTGCTCGAGTCAGGCGGTCTGGCAATGAGGAGACTGGGTACAGTAGCTGAGATAACTTGACGGACCTGTTTACGGTGTGGGAAAAATAAGGAGCAATAAAACCAAATGTGACAACACATTCAAATATTAAATAAAAATTGGTGCACTGTCTCGGTGCATTTATCGCGCTTTTTGTTTTAGTACTTATCGACATTAAGGGGGTACAGATCATTAAGTCGAGACGTCAGACGAGAGGTCGGTTGACAGGAGGTTGATGTCAGCACCCATAACTCCGATGCTGCCCGGATGGCTGACTGGTTGCCCTCTCACCAACTGACGCAGAATAAGCTCCGATGACCCTGTTGATGCATCAAATTCACGCCAACTCGGGCATCTTGCTGCAGGACCTCCGGATCACTGCAGTCGCAGGCGGGGGAAGTGCCGAAACCGCAGCCCGGTGGATCAAAGTCTATCGCAGGACGAGCAGTCCTCGGCTTCCACCAATTCTATTGGGCTTAAACATGCACTTTCTGCAATGATTCCGATAGGAGATTGCAAAATGCCAGCACAAATATCTATCCACTATCTGGTACAGTATAAATGCGGATATATGTGAACTTTTTTTCCGAATGACAGCATACCTCGACCTGTAGCATTGTTTAAATTTGGATGTAATATCAATGTACACATGCCCGACCGTAAGAGGACTCCGTGTTTTGTCATACTCCTGTGGCATCCGCTTCAATGCCCCCTTCCCCCCTCCCCTCCTTTGCGGCGCCTCGTTGTCAGCCGAGACCGCGACACCAGGCACTCCGCTGACGCACGGCCATCCCTCTGGTCTGTTCTGGGCCGCCTCTTGCTCGCCTTCAACGGATCACGTGTGCGCACGCAGTCTCTCACCGCCTCACTCGCTTCCAACCTCCCCGCTTTTTACCCCTGCGCGCCCTTCTGAGCAAGCACCCCCGACTCCGTCCAATCACATGTCCTGCACTCACCTACACATTCCATCATGATGTGCTGACGCCCACGCAATAAACCTCACATCACGACTTCCGCTCACCCGAGCGGACGCTTTCCTCTGACCACAAGCAAACAGCCAACGCGCGGCAATACGCCCTGTGTACAGAATAAGCCAGTTCTCACTACCT